CTATGTTTTGTACAAACATGTATAAAGAGATATTTTCCAATAAATGGAAATAATCCATTGGTTATAATGGCAATCTCCATGCAAGTTGCTGAGTAGGCTGGTACTCACTTCAGGTAAATTGTGCAAGGAAACTCAAGCATCTCCAGTACCCTTTCTCTTGATATCCTTATAATGTTGCCATTTTGTAAGGCAATTAAAAGAATTAAAATTTCGCCCTGGCTGGTGTGGCTCAGTGGATTGAGTGCTGGCCTGCAAACCAGAGTCGGTGATTCAATTCCCAGTCAGGGCATGTGCCTGGGTTGTGGGCCAGGTCCTCAGCAGGGGGTGCCTGAAAGGTAACCACACATTGATGTTTCCCTCTCTATCTCCCTTCCCTTTTGTCTAAAAATAAATAAATAAATAAATAAATGTTTAAAAAATATTTAAAAAGAATGTATTTTCAAGAAAATTTTTTTTAAATTTCTGAGGACAAAAATCGTTATATTTGTCATCAGTTATGATGATTGCCTGACCCAAATACTGGATACATGGGCTTCCATGCCACCACTTTAATTGCGAGCAAGTGGCTGGGCCTCCCGGACTCACAGGTGGATTATGGGAGAGCTTACCGGTGAATGTTCTTTCTGTGCCTTTCATTTATATGCTTGTATAACACTGACCTTGTCAGAGAAGGGTGTGATAATCAGAAATCAAGTTATAGGAAAGAAATAACTCAAAACTCAAAAAGCAAACAAAGCTGACTGAAATCAACTCCTCTTATGTTTGATGAGAATCTCTTTTCCTTACTAATATGTAGCTTTGCACGTTATAAAAATAGGACTAATTTGTGAAATGCCCTGCACTGGGTACAGACCAAGTTAGGCACAATTTGGACTAATATTTAAGTTTAGCATAGAATTAACTTATCATTCTTACAATGAACTGGAAGCATTAAAGACCATCAGATTCATTTGGAGAATTAAAATATAATCACCCTCCCTTACATCTGTTGTTACAATCCTAAATGCAGAAAACTTACTTACACTCGTGGCTACTTTGTGATTATTACTATATTACATTCATAATTATCTATTCAAATACCTCTAAACCACAAAATATCCTTTCATTTTGGAATACACACAAACACACACATACACAGACACACATACACACATACACACAATGGGAATTGCTTTAAGTAGGTTTTTGGACAAAAATATGAAAATCATTCATAAAATATTATCCCAATAATATAAATCAATAGAAATCAAATACTACAGGGCAAAAGCCAAAAATATTAACTGTAATTATTTCTGAATTGTTTTTTCTTTATGCTTTACTGTATTTTCCATATTTTTTAGAATGAAAATGCCTGAGTCTTGTCATTGAAAACATCCACCAACATTATTAATTTTTCAAGAGGCTTGGGTAAAACAGAATATGAATGTCAATGCTCTTAAAATATTATGAAAAGTAATGTGCTACTTGAAAATCGTGAATTTAGGGCTCCTTCCAGAAAATGTATGAATCCAGATGCAAGGACCTTCTGGCACTACACAACCCAAATCACCTTTGGAAAGGTTTTTCTTTTGCAGGACAATGAACTTCTTTTTGCAAAGAGCACAAAGAATCTTGAACTGAATTCAATTTCAGAAACAAAGTATCGTGGGTATAAAGAGAAACCATCCAATAAACAACTTTACAATATCTACTGCTAATATGAAAAAAAAAGACTCTTGTGTTTTTCTACCAATCATATCTTTAAACCATTACAGATATCTAAAATATACACCTGCTATCTAAACCTCTTTGCTAGGTCAAGCCCTCCCAAACAGGAATCTGAGGGCTGGGTTATTTTTAAAGTTTTATAACTGGCTCACATTTCCTCTCAAACATTCTCAGTCTAATCCCACCACATTTTCCAGGTAAATTTCCTATTCTTACTTTGCGATATCTGCCAAAATACATATGTACATGTATGCCCAAACCCATAGCCAACCGCAGAGTCCCTTACCACTGCGGGCTTACTGGGTACCTGTTACTGTGACAATCACTTTTCAGGGATTATTCATTTAATCCTCCCAACAGCTGAAAGGAATTGAAATAACTGTATCGATTTTAAAGATGAGAAAGTTAGACAGAAATGGGCTCAAAGTCACACAACTAAGCAAATCCAGTCTACCCTTTCTTTTGTTTACTGAGTGTCTACAATGTACCATGCATTGTACTAGAATAGAAAATACAGTCCATGTTCTAGGATCTGAAATACAAATTTAACTGCATATCCTGGACTTTTATGTTCTAAATCTGGAGATCCTATTTGTCCTGGTTGCCATGCCGTAGGGCATGCTAGGTTGACTCAGTGGCTAGTCCAATCCCTCTCAGCATGGCTGGGCTGGGACTGAGGTGACATGAGGTAGATGGAAACTACCAGGAATGCTGGTGTGGAGATTCTCAAGGATGCTGGGAGGAAGACCTCCAGGAACACTGGGAGGACGACCTGCAGGGATGCTGGGATGGAGACCTCTAGGAACAAAGATGGAAACCTCTAGGGCCACTAGGATGGAGACTTTCAGGGATGGGTGTTCCCTGGGAACAATCCCAGGTGCTGTCTCCAGCCCAGATGGACCCAGATGGACCCAGATGGACCCAGATGGACCATATGATGTCTCTTCGCAGTCTGGTTTTGCTCAGTGGCTTCCCACATTCATTAGGAGACTGTGTGTCACGGACCAAAGACCAGCCACCGGCAGAAAGCGTGCACATGTGAGGCATTGCCTGCTCAACCTCCAGAAACAATGGAGAGTCTTTTGAGTCAAACTCACAAGAAAACTTTTTTCCCAAAGTCCTTTAGAGTTGAATGAGGGATTTTGACCCAGCTACAACGATCGGGATCATATTTGCCTCTGCTGTCCCAGGAGGGGCCCCATTTCCCCTTCGGCTCAGGGAAAAGGTTCGTCTCCCATAAGCATTAGGTTAGGTATTTAGAGACTGACACTCCTTTGTGTCCTTGCCCCACTGTCGGTATCTGGAATACATCTGCTATGCTCTGTCCCTTACGTTTCCTCCAGATGCGAAGGGGTATATATACAAATGAAATCCTAGAAACATATATACTGAAACAACAGACATCTCCAAGTTTTTATCAGGAGGAGAAAGTGCTGTATTCTAGAGAAACAAAGACCAGACAGACATATCCTCTCTACCATTTAGTAAGTCACTACATGAAAATGGGGGTTGGAGGGAGGACACTGGACAAGAACTAATGCATTAATTAGAACTAATGCATCTATACTAATAAAGGTAGATGACAGGTGTCATCTACCAGGAAATTTAAAAAGACCACACAAAGCAGGAAATGTAACAGCTCAGGCCAGATGGAGGAGCCTTGAGCTAGATCCTTACTACAAGTTCACCAAGTAGATATTTGGGGTGGGATGGATGGGCAGCTAATATTCCAGAAAAGTAAAAGGTTACCAAATCCCAAAGGCAAGAAAGGGAATGTTCTCTTTTGTGCGTAACATAAATAATTCCACATGCCTGGACTGTGTGAGAATGGAAAAGGCGAGTCTGTAAGCAATGTGGGACCAAAAGGCAAAGGGGCTGGTAGACCACACCGAAGAGCCAGCATTTATTCAATGGCAGTTACTTAAAGCGGATATTTGAAAAGATGACATTAGCCGTGGTATACAGAAGGAAGAGGATATCTGGAGGGCAGCAGACCAGTTAAAAATCCCTGCTATAATCAGCCCAGGATCCCAGTGATGGAATTTGTGGAAATCAGCATCAGAAACCCCGCAATTATTACCAGTGGGCTGGAGTAAGCAAAAGCACACCAAGGGGGCCCGTCTAGTCTGTACTCATTGTCCACCCACAAACATCAGAAGAGATTCAGGTGGCAGGGTCGCTGGCAGGAACCTAACCAATTACTATCTATTCATTTAAAGTTACAAGCACACATCTTAATGTCTTCAGATGTTGGATGGGTATACAAAGGCTACTTAAGATCTGACAGCAGAAACAATGACCCTAAAAAGTGTTCGATACCTGTCTCAAATGCCCAGAACCTAAAGCATATTAGCTTCACTCAGGTCTATGTGGAAACTGTATAACTTCTCTCACTATGAAAGGTATGTTTTATAATCTAGTAAATTTGGGCAAAAGCGATATGAGCACTCCACTTGTGCTTTGCTTGGATGCCAGAAGAATCCAAATCTACAAAGTACCTCTTTCTCCTAGTTCCATGTCATTTTTCCTAAGAGACAGACATAAAGTGCTTTTTTTATACATCAACTTCCAAATACAATGGCAGGATAGATGATTTGAAGAGACGGATTATGTATGTTTCTGCGGAAGTCATGGTAAATATGACGGAAAAACTCAAGATCTGTGCTGACAGTGTTCCAGTGGCCTTAGTGTCAACTGGAATGTCAAATATTGAACTGGATGCAGGAACATGTGCCCCTTAAGAGATATAAATAGTAACAACTTTCCTTGAATGCTCAGTTGGCTGGTTAATGGCTTAATTGTGGACACGAAGAGCGGTAACATGGGCCAGAATGAACATTACGGCTTCTTGATCTGTAGGATTTTACTGAGGAGTTTGGTGAGAAGAACATGGTTTCTGAAGCCTAACTGCCTGAGACTGAAACCTGGGTCCATTTTTTATTAGACATAATAAACATGGTCATGTATTTATCCACTTCCTGCCTCAATTTCCCTTTATCTAAAATAGGGAAACAGACAATACCTACCTCTCAGGATTCATGGGAGGAAAAATGGGATGAATTCATGTTAGAACAGTTCCTGGCACAAGGGGTGGGCCCCATAAACGCATGCTGTAAAATGCAGTAGTCATCCTACTATTAGTAGTATACTTTATGACACTCACACTGTTTTTCATTTTTAAAAGAATTATTACTGAGCACTCGTCAATTATGGAAGAGCAGCCCACGTGTAACTGCACAGATGCAAAATGAAGTCAGAAGATATCTGTGGTGGCAAAATGGAAGATCTCTCACCTTGCTCCTACAACAAGTTCTTTCTGTCCTGGGTCAAATGTTAACTGCGAGAAATCCACAGCATTCTTCGCTCTGAACTCCCGTAACCAGGGGCCAATTTCTAAATAGGAAAAATAAATAAATAAAAAGATAAAAATGAATGATGTTTCTTTTGGGGACCACAGAGAGTGCACTTCAGGTAGCAAACATTACATTTCAGAGAGGATTTAAAGGTCCCCCGAGGTGACTGTTGAGGGGCCACTGGAGGTTTCCATCAGGATGTCACATAATCCACACTGAGAATGTGTAAAGCACAAAGTTACAGCCACCCAATAAAGAGGGAGCAAGGCATCCATGCTTGGTTGTGATTTACAAGCCAGATGTGCATTTTCCCATTGGCTTTGGGCTGGGCAGAAAATAACACATTATTCACAGAAAATACCATTTCCTGTGCAACTTGACAGGAAAGAACCAAAGATTTGGAAAAATCACACAAGCCCTCCGTAGGACCAAGGGCAAACACAGGAGCACCATTTGCCTTCTTTCAAAGAAGATGTTCCATATCCTGTCCTTTGTCCTTTGGGTTTCTATTTTGACCTCATTATTAAACTTGTCCTTCCTAGATGAGAAATCCGCAGTTACTTCGAAGCCTCATTTGCATTTTTTTCTAAGGGAAATCAGGAAAGAGCTACTCTGTAAAAGAGGTTGTTTTTGCTTTTTGTTTTTATGTATAAATATTATTAAATCCTGTTAAATGGCCTCCAGCCTGAAGTCCTACTCTTATTTCTTATAAAATGACAGTATTTAAAGAAGGCTGTAATGCTGCTTCTTAAACCTCCATTACATTAATACAATCCATTAGCTCATTTCTGACACTGAAAAAACATTCAGTAATTCTCCTGCCATTTGTGCCACACTTTATAATCGGCCCTGACAATTAACCCTGGTACCTGATCACCTCTTTCTCTTAGATTTAACATTTTAAGTGCTATCACACTGAACTAAACAGGCACGTAACAGTCAAGTCAACATAGTTATTGGTTTCAGTGGGGGAAATGGCGCAGAGATAATCTCTTTCAACAAAAGCAGGTGTAAAAACAGATTTACTATGAAAATATATCCATGTCCTGTAAAAATGCCTTTGTTGATATAAATTAGATGGATTATTTTCTTTTTTTAACTTTTCTTTTTGAGAGAGAGAGAAAGAGCGAGAGAGAAACATTGATTTGTTGTTCTACTATTTATGCATTCTCTGGTTGATGCTTGTATGTACCCTGACTAGGGATCGAACCCACAATCTTGTTGTATCAGGATAACACTAACCAACTGAACTACACTGCCAGAGTGGATTATTTTCAAGTAATAACTCTGTATAACAAATATGCCATTTCTCTAATGTCAGTTATTGAGGAAAAAAATGACACGAACTAAAAGTTCCATTCTACTTAAAGACAATAAAGGTTGAGTTATGTAGTAACTGGTATTTATTTCATTTTTGAAATTTTTATGTGTATGGTATCTTGATTGTTTTTAGTACTTTATATAAACTTTTTCATCTTATAGGTAAGTCAATTGAAACAAAATATTTATAGCAAAGTATGTTAAAGGCCACGGAGCTATAAAAAGTTATTAATAAATGGTCCTTCCAAGAGTTTAAAAATTCAGTTAGGGAACTAGCGCTAATATCTTCTTTAAGCACAGTATTTATAAATACAGGCGTTTATACAGTTACAGGAAATATTCATATGTAGAAAGTAGAGATGATTTGAGTCTTAGATAAAATGAAAGGAAAGATTTGATTTAATTCATTTCCCATGCATTTATCTTTCTATCCATTGAGAAGAGTGGAAAGAGACTGACCAACAGGAACCAGAATGAAGATACATAATTCGGGGTTTAAAACCTATACTGAGCAAAGGTTACACCCCTTCCTAAAATACTGAAATAATAAAAGGAGCCATGTGGACAGAAGAAGAGGAGTCACCAGCATAGAGTTCTGCCCATATTGTTCAATTTTCCTTATTTAAATTGCTAATGAGCTTCCCCATTAAAACTCTGTATTTTTATGGTTAATACTAGATCCAAGTTGGGTAATCTGCATATTCTCTCCGTTTTTGACTATCACGTGCAATCTTCCACAAGGGCTGCCCAGCTCAACTTTGTGCATCACAGAGCTTTCTACCTCACTGGATCCGAGGAGGGCCTTGGGCCAAAGTTCCTGTACCAGCCCATCCGTCTAACTGAAAATATACCTGCACCAATACCTATCATCTCACCTTTGCTTATAAGATCAGAACCGTCATGTTCCACCCTTTCTTTAATAACCAGTCCCAACTACTTGGCTTCAGTCTCATCTCTTCCCTCATCTTTAATCCATTTTCTTATTTACCTCTTTTATCCTCTAATTAATATCCAATGTTATAAAGCCCCTTCCCCTTTGCCTATAAGAATATGCATTTTCCCCCCACCATTAAAACAACATTTAAAAACCTTTTTAATTATATTCTTTCATGATTAGAGTTTCAAACACCCAAACAAAATACATAATAAACTCTCAAGCATAGTATGTAGGAAAGGGCTACAGGCTCAGTTTTACATTTTTACCAACTCCTTTAGAAACATATAATTCTAATTTTATACAAATTATTTCAGAGATTGGGCAAAGAGGTAAATCTTCTCTTCTCTTTGTGGTTTTGAAGCTATTGTGATCTTGACAATTTGATAGTAAGGCTAGACAAGGACATTATGAGAAAAAAAAATCATAGGCCAGCTCATTTAAGAACACAGCTGAAATACTTAAGGAAATAGCTATGTTAGTATATCCTACACACACACACTCACACACACACACACTTCACACACTTTTTCATATGGGATAGATTTAATTCAGAAAAACAAGGATGGCTCAGAAAAGCTTAACATCATAAAATCTGTTGCAATAATTCACCACTACAATTACAGTGTTCAATAGTAGCATGAAGATTTATTGATCCTGCTTCCTAAGGAATCAGAAAATGAACAGTCATGGACTCATAAGAAGAGCCAGGAGACTACAGCGTCAGGACAGGAGAGAGTACCAGGGCAGGTGGGGTGAATATGCGCAGCAGAGGCCGAAGACAGGCCAGGGAGAGTGAGGCGATCGGGGGAGGACACACAGAACGTGCTAGGCCAGGGAGATACATTTTCAATGCACTGACTTTCTTGGTACATGCTCATTTCCCTCAGATGATGTGTTCACCTTTTCCTACTAGCCTTCTCTTCTGATGTTACTGAAAAAACCATGTGATGGAATGGAACTTAAATATGGTAGCCATATGATCATTGTTTGGAAACTAAATAGTAACACAAAATCTATAAATTTGAATTGAATACTTTGTAGATAATTTTTAATAATTGATAGTAATCATCCTAGCTAACCCATTCATTACACAAACATAATTGTTAAAATATGGCCTCTGGCAATGATTTTCTATTGCAAAATTAGCTGCAATTATTCATATTGCCTTCTCTTACTACTATATAAATACCAACATTATTTTTTAGTAAGTCTACCAAAAGCACATTTATTTAACTTTCAAAAGAATCCAGTGTCACAGCTTCAAGAAAAATTACTTTCATAAACCTGTATCTAGTATTAATAAATTTGGTCCAAATAACTGGCATATATAAACTAGAGACTAGCTTAGCAGATTCAAGTGAGTCACCCCTAACCACCCAAGATTAGAAAGCAAAAGGACTGCAAGTCGCTATCTTTTTTTCTTTAGAGCAAACACGCTACAGCTAACCAAGGGAAGGACTGTTACAAGCTGAGAAAACCGTTTAGAGCCTGATAAGCGAAGATCACAGGGAATTCTGCTGGTGAAGAACAGCACCAGTCCGAAAGCTGACAGTCCTTCCAAAACCCAGACTGGGGGCTCCCCCAGAGACTGCAGCGCTGAGGGACTGAGACCAGCTGACTTGTGGGCAGACACTGAGTGAGGAAGCTCTCTGGTAGAGTAAGGGCAGCTCTGGGTACCCTGAGTTTTATTCTTTTCTCCTTCAAAATTCAGTCAATTAAGGAATCAAGAAAACAGGCAGGCAAAGCTTCTTGGGGAAGTTAAGACCCATATCGGAAACTGAGTCACAGGCTATAAACTAGGAGGGGCCAGGGGATAGTGGGGAGAGATACAGAAGCACAGGTAGTAACAAAATATACAAAAATATAAATGCAAATCAAGGCTTACTCTTTCCAATACTCAGGAAATTACATTTCGATTTAATCTACATCTAACGCTGCACGTGGAGATAATAGCAAAACTGACAACATGATTGTAGGTAAAGCAGCTAACAAAGATAGCTAACATTTAAACAGTGCATGCCATCAGCTAAATGCCATTCTATGCAATTTACACATTTTAATCCCTATATTTCTCACGCCCACCCTATTATAGGTGAGGTAGGTGAGGAAACCAAGCCTGGTTGAGGTCAACAGCTAGTAAGATTTAGCTCCTAATTTTGGAGCTTGTGTTTTTAGCCACTACGCTATACACTTAAACTGAACTAAATAAAAAATGTACCTTCCTATGTGACAGATTTTTTTTTTTTACTTTTAAAATAGGTTTATTGATTTTAGAGAGGAAGGAAGGGAAAGGGAAACATCGATGTAAGAAAGAATGACTGGTTGTCTGCCATTCATGCCCCAACTGGGGATTGAACCTGCAACTTAGGTATGTGCCCTGACCAGGAATCGAACTCCCACTCTTTTGGTGTACAGGATGATGCTCCAACCAACTGAGCCACATGGGCCAGGACCTTGTGTGCCACATTTTAAAAGTAACAGGAAGAAAAACCTACGACCTCTTCATTTGGAAAGGTAGTTTATTCTCACTGATATATTCTTATACTGTTAAATAAAAATTGCCACCCACTGGGTTTTCAATTACAGACTACAGAAGGCACTGTCTCCCAAACCCAGCTACCATGTCAACCTGTAAATATAACATTTATTGTTTTAATGTTATTATTATTAGCAATAATCTACAAGCCAGTTAAACTCTGTGAGTAAAAGCATTTACCATTTTCACTCGTAAGGTTTTATGATCCAAGAAGGGTCTTTACGTATGTAAGGGGGAAGAAAATGTC